AATGATATAACAAAACAATTGCATCTTACTTTGTTTCTGATAATTGTTACTGCAGTTAATATTATAATTATTACGTATACATCAAATGTTAATTTTGTAATGAGGGAAATTTTATAACGTAATAGTTAAAAAATATAATTTATTAACAGATGTTATAGTATATTATTCTTAATTTTAGGCTCTAGGTCCGATTTCTGGCTGTCACGTAAACCCGGCTGTATCATTCGGTTTGTTGATCAGCGGAAATTGCAGTTTTCTTAAAACTGTTAGTTACGTGATCTGTCAATGTTGCGGCGCTATTGCGGGATCTGCCGTTCTCAAGGTATGTAAATTTAAAAAATTCGCTGCAACATCCAATTTATTTCTGAAAAATATGAAAAAATTAATTAATCTAAATGTCTATCTTTGTTAATTTCAATTTTCACAATATTGCTTTAAAATGTTATCCAGCAAGTTAAATTTATCTGAGATTCTGTCGTTTAACTAAGGCTTGAAAGGGATTATATCAATTTTTATTTCCATTGTCACTTAAAATGTAATCCCTTTCTTATTTGTTTTAAAAATAATTGAAATTATTTAGAACTTAATCACATCGAATACCGCCGAATATTATATAAGTTATAAATCGCCAGCGCGTCGCGCGTCCGACATTTTTATTTAAGCGCGCTTACGTTTTCTTACACGTGCGTAATCACAATGATTGTCCGAGCGAAGCGTGAAATTGATCGTTGATCGTCGTCATTTCGATTTGGCGCGGAGCTTCGAAAGTGCTCCATCTTATCCATATCAATTAAATCGCCGTTGAGCAAGGTCAAGGTCCGCCTCTCCTCCCCGACTCCGTCGTCCATACACTCGTTACATCAGAAACTGGTCGCTGCTGACCAGCTGGATCACGGGAACAGTGACGCACGTGCGTGCATGATAATAATTTGCGTATTTGTTATAGTCCTGATTAATTTCGATGAATAAATCAACATTAAACATTTTTTCAATCTAATATTTCACCGATTTGCAATCCGATTTACACACAAAAAAAAATTAGTCTTAAATCGAGACAAATATTCTCATATATAAGCAAGAATATTATAATTTTCTTAAAAATTTTAATCTCGCTTCGATTGAATTTGTCGATTGATTTATTGATCGAAGTATCATTATTGCTGCAACTCAGAACTAAAAATTTTCTATATGAAAACTATAACATCCTTGCTTATATATATGAAAATGTATAATCTTGATTTAAGATTCATTTTTTTTCTGTGTAAACACCGTTCTTTTTGCATATGAATTGAATTTTATCATAAATAATTTAAGGGCGATTAACTTTCTTATATGTTACAATTTTAATCATAATAAAAATTTCTTCCCTTCTCTCCTCATCGTTTATCGATTTCTCTAATTGTCATTTGTCCAGCTGTTGATACCCAAGACTCAGGCCGTTCATGGTCTGGGTGCTACTATGTTGGGCGCCGGGGTGACACCAGCGCAGGGTGTAGCAATGGAGGCAATCGTTACGTTCCTACTGGTGTTGGTGGTGCACGCCGTCACGGATCCCAAAAGGACCGACGTAAAGGGTTGGGCCCCGCTTGCGATCGGCCTGACGATCGCGGTGGCTCATATGGCGGCGGTGCCTGTCACCGGTAGCAGCATGAATCCTGCCAGGACTTTGGGTCCAGCCGTGGTGATCGAAGAGTATCAAAATATTTGGGTTTACTGGGTGGGCCCGCTCATCGGCGCCTGCTTGGCCGGCGGTATCTACAGGATGGGCCTGAGGGCCCATAGAGAGGACGACGAGGGTTCGTACGACTTCTAAAGGCCCGTAGATCCGTCCTACAAATACGCGAGATGGGCTCTAATAATAATAATATTCCGCGAAAAGACCGGGAGGATCTCCCGGATGTGTAAATAAAAAAAAAAAATAAAATTCTAGGACGAGGACGCACGCTCTGATGATCTGACGACCGCGAGATGGTTTCACGATCTTCGTCCGTTGCATTTAACAAGATTGTATTTGCGAAGAAATACGGTTTACAGAAATTTTCTGAATGAAATTCAGAACACTGCGGATGAGAAGGTGTCGAAATTTTAGATTGATTTTAATGCTAGATTTCAATCAAAATAATTCTGCTTGTAAATTTAATATTTTGTGTGTCTTCATTATATTTTCTCTTGAGAAATGGTATTAATAATACCATTTATATCTAATTTCTATCTATTTATATCTAATATCAAATGCTATCGTCAAATTTCATATTTTTAATCTACAGACCTTTTTAACTGACAGTGTTTAATTAGAAAAAAGAAATAAAAAAGACGTTGACATTATTGTATAATCTTGATATACAACGTACGAAAAAATTTTATAATATATTATATATATATATATATTAATATTTAATATAATATTATCATTAAATATTTTTACGGAATAAGAGATGTACGAGCATATGATATTATACAATAATGCATATTATATAACCAGATTGATATCCTTCCTCAAAAAATTCCCTCTTTCACTTTAAGAAAATGAACCTGAAAATATTTTAGATATTTTTTTCAGCTATTGTTCAACTGTTGCATCAAGTGCAATATCATTATAATATTATCGTAACTCGAAATAATTATCAATTGACACCTTCGTTTTATAAATCAATTTTACATCCATTATTTTGTATATCGCTAATTTGAATTTTGTATATATTGTACTTAAGTTAGCTCACATAGCGATAGATCAATTATATTATATTATTTACCTACATAATTTTTAATGTAAAGTGTAGCATAATTTAGCATTTAATTAGTTCACAGCACATCGACATGGCAACATTAACAAATATACTCTTTCGCCATCAGGGTTATCTACATGTCCATTTTTATTTTTGCAGATTCTCGCACTCATTCTCTCTCTCTCTC